TGTGTGTGTGTGTGTGTGTGTGTGTGTGTGTGTGTGTGTGTGGCGCCAGTCATTCCAAACTGAATGGATCACACTCTGCTCTCATTATGGTCAGGAAAACAACCAGATGCTTCATGTTTCTCAAATGTCCTTGGACAAGTTGTTAAAGTTTCATTCTTTATTTCTGTTAAGAAATAATCATGACCAGAATTCAGGCACTATACAGTTGCTCTTAAACTTTTGGTTCAATAGTTTTTTTGTGATGTGAATGGAACAGTGAGAAATCATTTTTAGTTTTACCCACTTATGTTCTTTATCCGTGATTGCTGCAATTTCCACTAAAAATCCTACTCCCATAAATAGCTGCATTAGTAAAACTATCTGAAATAGATGTAAAATTGTTGTCCTGAATAAACTCTCATACGGCATCAGAATGTAATCAAACTGTTTGTCAGAGGGAAATTGTAATTTTTACGACCCTTGAGCATAACAACAGAAAAAACAGCAGTGCTTACAGACTGAAAAGTTTGGGAAATCCTCAACAACTCACTTCAGTATTGCTGTCATCGGTCAGAAGTGAGCTTCTCTCACTCATTGGTCCATGTTGGACTCTTCAGAATGTTTCACCCAGCACTGACAGCTCCGGTTAACAATAGAGTGACGGCCTGCGCAGATAGGGAAAAAGTCTGGAGTCACTTTGGTATCTGAGTACACACACTACCAGTGTTGGTCAAGTTAATCAGTAACTAATTACTAATTACTTCCCCCAAAAGTAATCCCATTACTTTACTGATTACTTATTTTCAAAAGTAATTAGTTACTTAGTTACTTTTAAAAACATGATTTACAATAGGTGATAAAGCGATAGATCTTTCAGCCCAGCTCTACTTTCTGCCTAATCCATCATATAAAATGTAATCAAATGGAAAAAGTCTCTTTTTAAAATTTGTTTTTATTAGTTTTAATCTTTATGACTTGACTTTATGCATCAAGAAAACATTAAATTATATGCAACATTCTCTGACTGGAAGAAATTTGTTTAACATCTAAACCTATTTTCTGCACATTCCTGCACATAAAATAAAATATTTTTTTGTGTTTACACTCAGTTTTTCAATAGATGCAAGTAAAACACAGCAGAAAATAAATAAAATCAAAGACTCAGCGGTCCTGTTGCTCCATTTTCACCTGTATAGCAGGAGTGGGGCAGGCAGAGGTTTGCCCTGGTGCAGGTGTGCCGCAGCGGTCAGTGGAAGTTTGTCTGTGAATTTCCCATTACGTCGTAGCATACTCGGTGCGTACTCGGTGCTTGCTTGGAAGTTTAGGGTTTTTTTTGCTGTAAAAAGAAGTTTTCTTCCCACGCACGATGGACACTAATGTTTTTGTCACACGGAATTAAGCTCAAAGTAAGGTCAGTGCTTCCACACTTTAAAAGCTGCACGGGCATACTCTCTCCCGCACTCGATATATGCCACGAATGTCGCACTCGCTTACATCATTGTCATGAGACACTCACAAAAAAAATTACAGTTTTAGTAACGCAGTGTGCTTACCGGAAAGTAACGGTAATCTAATTACCTTTTTTTGCAATAGTAATCCCTTACTTTACTCGTTACTTGAAAAAAGTAATCGGATTACAGTAATGCATTACTGCCCATCTCTGCTCACTACAGATGAATGCAATCTTCAATCTACTGACGTGTTGCGGTGAAAAATTTACAGACTGTACCTTCTCGTTCTCATCACTTGAACTGGTTTGTCTTTGATTTGAGCAAAGACCTCAAAGTTGCACAAAGGCAAACATCAGCTTCTGCATTAAACTGGTCCAAATTGCTATCAGGGATCATCACTGATCAGCTGGTTCTCAGGTATAACCCAGTGGACAATTGTAATAGTGCCAGGATCCATTATTTCAACTTTGGCGTGTTACGCTAGCCGCGTATATATTTTTGACATAATGGCTCAGTGACATTGATATGGTTGATATACAGTATGTCACTGTCACAGTTATCATCAATCGCACTTGTTTCCACATGCATCAGTCTTTCTATCACTTATATTCCCACTTTTCTCCTATTCTTCAAGAACCTGGTGATGTTCCTCAGCCTCGTGGTTGCCTGGGTGATTCCTGATGTTCCCAAAACCATCGTGGAGCAGCTCAAAAGGGAAAAGAAGCTCCTGGTCGATGTCTTTTTACAGGAGGAGAAGGAGAAATTACAACTCATCCAGCGGCTGTTTGCCAAGGATGCCACCCTCCACCCCAGCAGCAACACGCTCCCCCCAGGGCAGGATCTGCCGATCCCGGGTCGCTACAGTACTTTACCATCGGGGCCCACAGCTGGAGAGGACCGAGGAGGAGGAGGGCCAAGGGCAAGATGCAGGGCAGCCAGTTTCAGCCAGTTCAACAGGAATATTGCCTCTTCGCCCATGAAGGAAAACGAGAATTCAAAACACACAGCGGTGTGAGATGAAACACACGTTACGGGGGTGCTTCAGCTGGTTCTATGGATTGTCACTTGGGTGACTCGGTCCATGTATGTCTTTTCTGTGTCTTTTGTGTCCCGGTATGTGTGGCTTACCTTTTGAACATAAATTTTAAATTCACTGATATGTGAGTGGTTGACTCAGCAATGTTCACATTGATTGACTAAATGGGTGTGAGCGTGTGTGTGTATGTATGTGCTGTTCCTACTCTCACTGACTGTTTACCTGACAGAGTTGTCGTTTTTACTTTTTGGTCAAAATAGTGAGGCATACTAGCTTCATAGCGTAGAGAAGCAATAATCATCATGTTAGGTTAAACAACTAAATGTTGCAGGAACCTGGAAGAGACTGGAGATGAAGAGAGGACTATGAACTAATGGGTAGTCTTAATAAGCATTTAACCAACATGATTAAACTGACAGACATTGTGGCTCCTCATTAGGGCTGTCAATAGTTTCCTGCTTTATGTGCTTATGCTATTCATGTATTTTTGTTTACAGAATTTGTAGCAGTTGAAAAATACCACATTTTCTGTACTCTTCTCTTTAGAATTCAGGAATACACTTTGAACCCCTTTTTTCAGAATTCACTAAAATTGCCACTAAAGATTGAGCTGCTGGTCATTGTTTCTCTTTACCTTACCCTGAGTTTGAAATGATGGAAAAATGCTAATGTGACAAACCATGTTTATGGCACTCATTTCAGTTGAAGCTATCGTGACAACTTTCAGCTGACTGTTGAATGACTTTAATAACTTGTGAATGCAAAGGAAAAGCCATCTCTTTTATAGACTGAGTCAGGTGAAAATGATCACACTGTGTCTTATTGACAGCGAAACAAAAGGCATTAGCTGTCCTTTATTATGAAACACCTGACAGTGTACCTTGACATTCCTTCAGGTAAGTAATCAATCTGAGCCCGTTCTGCTTAAACAGAAGACCTTAACATGGACTCAACATGCCCATTTAGTGGAAATCTGCATCTTCACACACACACAGATTTCTTTGATTGCGGTTAAATCACGTTTTGTTTTGTTTTATTAGCTTGTTAGCTAGCCAATATGTAAAATGTTAACCCTAAGGTTCCCGTATTATGAAGGCAGTTCCATTCTCAACGAGTTACATGCAATGGGAACTTATTTTGTAATTTATGCAGCAGACCTAATTTGCTGCGGCGCAGATTATACTCTAGATTAAATATGAACACGTAAGAAATCACTGCCTGCTGACCAATCAGTTCTCTGGAAAATAATACCCCTCTGACTTTGGCAGGAAACTGTTTTACAAAAGTTACTCCTTTGAAAACGGGGCGCCCATTTGTCTTTGTAGACCTAATATCAAATTGGCGCGTACCCTTGAATTCTGTTTTTATATTTATTCTATTTACTCATTCAAATAGCAACATGACAGCAACTGAAATAATGAAAACTGAAATTTTACTTTCAGACCAATAGAGCGGTGATATTGGTAAGCCTGTTAACTTAGCCCATACAATCAGCATTTCTGCTAGCTTTCCTTATTGACTTTAAATATGCCCAATTTGATTAACATGAAAGGTATTCACAGATTTTACTGACCAAAGCAATTCAAGAAGAGACACATTTATACAGCGCTTTCCCCCTCTCACAGTCATCCTCTCACTATTGTATTATTCTAATATGATAGTTATGTCTTCCAGATGCTCTGCTGCAGTAGAATTTTCCATGTTTGTGATTGGTCAGATGATGCCAGCACAAACCCTTTCATGTGAATGTGCTCTTAGCCAGATTGATGAACCCTGGGTTAAAATATCCTGACATCCTAGGTACATCAAACTTGCTTTGTAGTAAAGACCCCAGGTCTGTTGGTGTATAGTTAAATGACATACAGATTAAAAGAGCTTTTGCATGTTATTCAAAAGTTAAATTCTAAGAAATATAAGCTGTGATCATGTTGTAGCTAATGTACATGAAATGGCATAAAACAGCTTCTCAGTAGGCAGTTCCTTTGCAGTCATTGATCGTCTCTTGGAAGTCAATGTTCATCGATGTACCTACTGAAACAGTCCATAGCTATGTAGCCTACAAATGTTAATTTAACAGATGGTCTCCAAACAAGCCCGCTTGTTGATGGTGTAGAATTTGTGATTTTAGAAAATTTGTCCCTTTATAACATCCAGTGTCTTGCAAGACCTTAAGCTATTAAGCTACTTTCTTTTATTCAGACAATGTTAATGTGATGTGCATATCATACTGGAGTAAATAAGTTCCCATCATGAAGTAGCGCTCACTCATAACCAAATCTGAGAAGGTTGAATTTGCAAAGAGGTGTTAAAATTAAATGGACAAAGCTACACTGAACACAACATTTTTAAACATCACACATCCATATCAGCATTATTGCTATCTGATATTCCAACAGTTAATACTGTTGTCAGCAAACAATTTGAATGTGCAAAGAATGCAGCTGAGATTAGTTTTTATTTGGTTTCTTCATGTTTAGCTTTTAGGACCCTAATGGATGAGAAGCCAGCTGTTATCCAATAAAAGCAAGTGTCAGTGAGAGAGACTGGTTACGTGACAGACCTACAAAAGTCATGTGCTCTATAGATGAAAAATGTAAAGGCTATGGTTAGTGGGGTTTTTTGTTTGTTTGTTTTTTTTTATTTTCTTTTTTTAAAGGGTGAATGCATCATGTACTGTAGTCTGAATACTTTCAGTATTGATGAATCCCCGCAAGACTGCATCTTCTTTTTAAATTCTTGAATTGATGAAGCTTATTAGCTTAGCTTGGTAACTTATTTCAACACCTATGAAATTCAGCTCCTGTACACTTGGTGCTGTGTTCATCCTACATTACAGAAGGTCTGTCATGAGGTATGTTAAATATCTATTTTGTCACAGTAATTGTGATCAGTCTGTGTTTCATAACATGAAATAGACATGGTATTTGCAGTAGGAGTAGACCCGCAAGCTACTATAAACTATTTGTAGGTGTCACAAGATATTAGACTGCTCAATTAACCAAAACTGCTTCAATTCATGCCCTCTTGGAAAAAAATACGGAGGGAAAGTGTTGTTAATTTTAATCTTCACAGATTTAACAGTGTGGAAGAATCACTCCTGCTGCTAATGTGTATTGCTGGCCAACTGCATATTGTATACTTTTCAAGGATGTGTGATGGGACAGTGAATCTTCACTGGAATGAAAGGGTACTTTCTTGACACTCGATATCTAGTTCTTGTAATAATGTTAATATGCCGACATGCTGTAAACCTTCAGTGCTGTTTCAGAGGCCTTGTAACTGCTCTTTACTTTGCATTTGTCACATCATCTGCCCATCTAATACTCAGTGACAGACTGTTAACTTTATTTGTATCGACTTTAGGAAGTTGTAATTAAGATCTATTTGTTAAACGACTTTCTGTTGTTCAAAAAAATGTTGGTCCTAGTTTAAGATGGTGTACAAAATCCTAAATACAGAATTGTTAGATGGATTGGTTCTTCACATTGTGTGATGTGTACTTTTATCCCATAGTTCTGTTTATTTATTGGTCTTTTTTTGGACCAGGTAGTCTTAGTGTGATTACTTGGTCAAAAGAAAAATACAACATGACGAATATATGAGGCTGTTAGAGCATGGCATTATCAGTAATGTCTGCTGGTAAATCCACATGAACAGACACTGGATTTTATTGACCAGTAAAAATCTGATGCATCAAAACTGCAACCGATGAAGAGAATAATCCTCATAAGGGAGTCTCTTCGTGCCTATGTCCAGTGAAATAAAAGATGGCTTGCTTCAAAGTACGTCTCATCCTGCCAAACACTGTCATAAAATCTGACGTCTCTTTGGACTCCAGCAAAGGTTGTATTTCTACATTAAATTTATGAAACACACCTTTTTTGGATTGCTTATACTACCCTGTATATGTCCATGAACACCTTGATACAAAAGTTGTAGCAACTGTTGTTTTAGGGTTGTTTCTGATTATTTCTGCCACCTGGTGGACAAAAGATGCCCAGATACAGCTTTAAAAGTCTATCTTATATTTTGACCATTGGTTTATGGTGATTTTCTGCAAATGCAAATTGCTGCAGAGAATTTTCCAGTGATGTAATACGTTAAATCTTACTGAGTGAAGTCACTGCTTTGCTGAATCGAAATATGAATTAATGGTTGAGTAGATGCAAAAATAAATACTGCACATTAGTAGCATCTGAGCTTTAACCAGATAAACAGTACTGTTTTGTAATTCAGTTTAATACAGCAGCCAACCAAAACCTGTAAAACGCAGTCTTTGCAATCAAAATTCATACATTATATCCAAAAAGAGGTGAAATAAACCTCATAGGTATATCTAAAAAATTCACATCATGCATGAAATTAGTACTGATTTCTACCCACATGTTTTTCTACATTCAAATATTTTTTTTCAAGGGAACTTTGACAACTTTTTTGCCAGCTTTAGTTGATAGCAGTTGATATCAACTTAAGTTGATATAAGATGTCCTCATGAAGATATGGATTCGTATTAGTTTCTGTGACTTAAAGTTTATGTTGCTAACTGATAATTGAATATCTGAATGGACAGCCAAGATACTTTCTACAACATAACTGTAAGAGAAAAGAGATGATGTGACACTTTGTAATATTTTTACTCCCTGACAGTATCCAGCTGCAAGTGTGAGCAAGTTGCTGCTGCTCTTCCTTCTATCACTGGACATGAGGTTACTGTTCATACTTTATCTGCTACAGCTGCTCATTCTATAGCGCTGTTGCATAGTGAGTCATTTCAACTTGTGATGCATCTGTGAAAGATGCGTTGTCTTCAACAGCCATCACAACAGTCATTCCATGTCCACACAGTTTCATCCATTTATATCAAAAAATCCTAATCATAACAAACAAAAAACAATCATTGCTAGTTGTGTCATCCAAAGTCTGAAATTTTAGTCATAGATTTGTCTTGGCAGTGCTCTTTGGGAGAGGCAGTCAATCTCTGTTTTTCTTTCTAAATGCTGTGACACGAACGGGTGCCTAACCGCGCAGCTGCAGCTGACGGTGCACAGACTCTTACCATAGTCACAACAAGCAGTGCATGATACTGTATCATACAACAGCTCTACTCCATTGGTTAGGTGAAATGCAAATGGTATTGCAATGCAAGGTAAATATATTGTTCTTATATTTTTAAGAATTTATGTACAAAGATGGTTCGCAATGTTAGAGTGACACTATCCGAGGCTAATGGGTTTTGCCTCTCCCTGTGTGATGGGCTGTTGTCACAACAAACAAAGTGGAAAGTAATCAGATGACAGCTGTGTGAACCAATGTTGACAGACAGTACTCGGATGCAGAAAATGAAAGGTTATATGCAGGCTGTTCTCAGGTGTGTAGATGCCAGCCTGCAGAGATGGAAGGCTACTGGTGCTAGCACTACTAATGTTAGCCACACATGTATACGGTGCAAGGTTCCATGCATTTCAGTGTCATTTAAAGCTTATTAACCAAGACTTTGACAGTCCCATATATCTTGTATATACACCCCTAGTATTTGTATTGCCAATGTTTATTACAAATATCATTAACTGGATTTGATTTTTCTCATGATTAATCAACTACAAATTAGTC